TCGAATCCAACCGGATCGAAGGAATTTTTTCTGAGTGTTCGATCTTTGTATTAATAATTATAACAAATTAATTAATTGTTAATTGCGTCAGGGGTGGGTAAGGGTGTTTACTGTCCACGCTGGAATAAGCTTATTCCAGCACCATTTCTCAATCTTGAGAACCACAACACCTAGCCTAGATCTGATTACACTAAAGAAGTCGTGATTAAGTCGGCTCAAGTCGTAAAAATATAGATTATGGTCGTTACGCCATTTTGCAGTTATTAAGGTGTTTTACTGTCCACGCTGAAATAGTTTATTCCGACGGCACCACTTTTGAATCTCGAGAACCACAGGTCCTAGCTTAGACCTGATTGCACCCAGAAAAAGTCGTAAATTAGTCGGTTCTAGTCGCGAAATTTTAGAATTAGTCGCCCCTTTGTTTAGAAGATACATCCGATTTATTATTGTAACGTTATACTTGTGTTAGTCTCGGAGCTCACGTTCAAATTTTGCATAATATACAGAATTTGTTGTTTATTTTTTGAAAAACATGCGATTTGAAGGTTTTAATAACGTTTACTTTCTAATACAAGAAAATTAGCAAAAAAGTTATTTCTCCTTAATGGCATTAGGATTTATCGATTGTCATTATATTTATTAGTGTATGTATGTCGTGTTGGGCTCCTGGCTTACACGAGACGAACGAGACGCGTGCAGTACAGTCGCGTACGACAATTGATCATAATAATTTAATAATGAATTTAAAAATGACTTAATAATGATTGATTGACTGACTGAGAATGACTATTATAATTTATAGCGCAAGTTAATTTCAACTACAATTTGTGTTAAGGTTAAGTGTTACTATCCTATCGTGCTATCCCTACAGGTAGTCTCGATCCGAGATGTTTGAAATAAATATTGTAAATGATAACGTATTCAAATGTAAATTTACAAAGAGCAACCTCTAGAGATTCTTGTTCATTCTTCTCAGGGGAATCTGCTTTACGAATGAGCAGTAGACTTATCTCTAGTCAACGTTTTCAAGTGTAATTTTAACACCTGTATAAAATAAAGATTATTTGAGTGTGGGACAAGGGCAGAATGATGAAATGAATTGTCAAATATTTACAGATTATTTACGCCTTCAAGATTATATAGGCTGATTTTTTATCACTCGTCAAATTTTAATATAATGATCGTTGATGAAAATATAACATACGTGTGTTTCTGTTTTAGTAGCACCGAGTACCAAAATGTTGCGATATGACCTCACAAAGCTATCCAAAAAACGGCCACAATTTTAGGCATACTACATATAACACACCCCAGCCGATGAAACTGTAACATTCGCGGCTGCGTGTATTTCTACTCGTTCGCCTAACTAACGTGTTGTATTGACTTTTGGACAAATAATTTTAATATTAGGGGTTAAAGTATGAAATTGCCGTTTTATTGCAATAGGTTCTTTGAATTTTCATAGAATCTTCATGGTTTGAGGTTTTCGAATGAAACTTTTTTCAAATGGTTTCTGTGATTTTTTTTTTTTAATTTGAAACATTTGAATATCGACTTTCAATTGTTTTTGTTATTCAATTTAGACAAGAAAGATGGATACTGCGAAAATTCGAGTGATTTTTGAATACGAGTTCCGACGCGGAACTAACGCGGCAGAAACAGCCCGCAATATCAATGCTGCGTTTGGAGAGGGGTCTACTAATGAACGCACCGTGCGATTTTGGTTTAAACGCTTTCGTGATGGAAATTTCGACTTAAAGAACGAGTCACGAGGAAGACCGCCCACACAGGTGAATAACGATGAATTAAGAGAGATAGTGGAAGCCGATCCTAGTCAAACTACCCAGGAATTAGCGGCATGGTTTAACGTTACCTTACCCACAATATTGACTCACTTGCGTCAAATCAATAAAATAAAAAAATACGAAAAATGGGTGCCTCATGATTTGACTGATCTGCAGAAAGAAACGCGTGTTGAAACTTGTGTTGCCTTGTTGAACCGGTACAGAAATGAAGGAATATTGGATCGAATTGTAACATGTGATGAAAAGTGGATTCTTTATGATAACCGGAAAAGAAAAATGCAATGGCTGACCCCAGGTCAAATGCCACAACAGTGTCCTAAAGCAAAACTTACCAATAAAAAGGTAATGGTAACTGTTTGGTGGTCTCAGCATGGTGTTATTCACTATAGTTTTCTCCGATCTGGTCAAGCAATAACGGCAGATGTCTATTGTGCCGAACTCCGAACCATGTTGACAAAACTAGCAGTAAAACAGCCCCGACTCATGAATCGATCTTCACCATTATTGCTCCACGACAACGCGAGACCTCACACAGCACGAGAAACCATTTTGACCCTTCAGGAACTGCAGTTAGAAACCATTCGTCATCCTCCGTATTCACCAGACCTTGCTCCAACGGACTACCATTTTTTTCGTGATTTGGACAATTATCTACGTGACAAGAAGTTTTCTTCCCAGGAGGCAGTACAAAATGCTTTCACACAGTTTGTGCAGTCTAGATCGTCGGAGTTCTATCGCAAAGGCATTAATAACCTTCCCATTAGATGGCAGCAATGTATAGATAATAATGGCAACTATTTTGATTAAATAAATTTGTTAAAAATTTAAAAAATAAACAATTTAGATTTTCAGTACAAATCGGCAATTTCATACTTTAACCCCTATTATCATAGGCATGATTCCATCATGATCATACCTGTAATTTTTTTCCGAATATGGTGTCTTTAAATGCGTAGAAAACATTTGGCTACTGATAAAAAGATCAGAGAATTAAAAACGTTGTTTTAATCAACAATGTTTATTTACAGTATCATTTGGTAATTCAGGGTAAAATAATAATTTAAAATCACAACAATAATATCATACCTACCTAGTATCTATGAGAATCACAAAATTTGTACCTATATTTGCTAAGTGATTACACTTCAGAAATTAGACTAAGTACTCAATATTTTTTTTATTTCGAAATCCTTGTTACAGCTGTTCAACAAAATAATTGTTTGTTTCAGACTTTAAAAGTAAGAATAAACAATAATATAAGAGCAAATTATTTACAATGACTTCATTGTCAATATGCAGGGTTATTTTGTAAAATACTAACACCCTTGAAAGACTAATATTTAACATCATAAACAACTTTTGTTCTGGTACTTTTAAATTAATCACATTTATTTACGTTTAAAGACAAAAATATTTAAAAAGATGAAAACTCTGTGCGGTAATCAAAGAAAGCGCTATAGTCCATTTGTTTAGGTAGTTAAGTAAATGTAAACAATTTTGATACATCATTTTTTTAAAACATATGCTTTACAAATCATAAAAATAGGCATGCAATTTCATATGAAACTAAGTATTCGTATTTTGTATTTGAAGTGAAGTAAAAATCATTTTATAAATGTATATTTTAAATAGACTTCTCAACATTGTTTACATTTAGTTAAGTACAGGTACCTAAACAAATGGACTATAATGTCCGATGCAAAATGCAGGAGCGAGATGGAGGTCGTCGTCGAGGAGGACGCTTGCACGTTTGAACTTACTGTCAAATAGAGATCTTTAAAGCGTCGGATAGTACTACATAAATTTAAGTTTGCTTTTGGTAAGTTTATTATGTTTTGTAAAAAATCATAAAACATAATTTGTTGTATATGATGTTGGTAATATAGTCCTGCGAGGGTTTTAGTATTTTACAAATAACCCGAATGTGAAATGTTTAATTGAGTATCAAATTACAGTCATAGAAAAACAATTTTACTAAATTGATAGTGCAATTTTCAAAGACTGATTTATCATAATTTCACTATAAATTTCCTCTAAAATTTCACTCTTCCAGATGATTCATATGTTTTACTTCTCTTGAAGGAATTTGCATATAATTTCTAGGAATTTCTCCGGTTTTTGGCTGTGGACCCAGTGGCCTGCCCCTTCAACAAATACCAATTCTGCCATTGGGAAATATTCTTGTATGTCTTTTATGTCATTTTTTCTGGAAAAGAAAGAGTGCTTAAGCCTAATATCACAACTACTCTCTACTCTAATCACTTCCCATTTCTTCCAATTAAAAAGAAATTGGTAGATGGTGTAAATAGGCAACCGAATATAGGTAGTAGTGACATTACACTGTAATTATAGTTAATTGTGTTAAACTGTTTTTTATAATTTTGTATTCTATAGCTACCTAATATATTTTTAAAAACATTGAAATACATTGATGTTTGATAATTTATAAAAGATGCACTCTAGTGCAGAAGCCGAATGTTACACTTAAATCGTCAGCTAAATTTGAAAACTTCGTAACTCCTTTTTTGGACGAAATCCTTTTTTAACTCAATTAAAGCTTGAGCTTATTTTCACCTCACTAGCTCGGAAAGGCTTTCTTTCTCATTAGAAATCTGCGCGCAAAAACGTTTTTTCGACGCTAGCACACGCTAGCGTGGAGAAAAGATTTTTGAAATTCGATCTTGACGATGGACTGTGGTACTTTCCCTTTCGATGAAAAAAACATAATGACACGTTATTAGTCATTAATAAATCCATTGGTATATTTTATTCTTATTACTGTTGACATAAAATTGACAACGATAACTAATTTTGTTTATTAACAGATTTGTTATACTTTAACTGTTTTTCTTTCATCTACCATTTTCCTTGCTATACTGAGGTGAAAAGTTGTGTTTTGCTCGGCAGTAAAATTGTTTCGCGTCTCGTGGCTTGAAACCCCCACTACGCTCAGGATCCTATTTCTGAACCTTAGCTTAGCTTAGCTTTGGTCGTGGTTCAATCGTGAGCTCCTGTGCTTGCCCTGGCTTCAACACAACAAAACAACAACTTTGCAGTCTAGCATAACAAATAATTATTGTAGACCCTCTTTTAGGTATAAAATAAAGGTATAATCATAGACTGTCATGTAGTTCTTTCTAATAATTCTGTTTTATGTGCCTACTCAAAAATTCACATTAATAGAGTTATTTGGTTCAAGAATTTAACTGACGAAATTTACTGTATTTGAATGGCAACTTAACAGAGACTAAACATCTACAATCTTACCCAATATAGTCTGACAGAGATCCTCCCACAAAAAGTGATGGCCCACAGTATTGCAGACCTCTCAAGTTATTTGGAAAACAGGCTATATGATTTTGAAAGTTTTCTTTTAAAGCTGGTAGATTGACTCTCCATGTGTAAGCTCCAGAATTAGTTTGCACCAAGTTTGTTATTAAGAAATTTCTTAAATTAACATCAGGAGTGATGTTTTTAAGCTGTTCATCAGCCAGTTTTCTTGCCTTTGACATAGCAATGCCCGGGCGAATGGATACAGATCCCATGGCATCAAATAAATTAACCATGGAGAAAATTTGTGGACTAGTTTTCACAGGAGAGATGTCAACCACTATCAAACTGGATACTAAGTCGGACTGAAAGGTTAAGATAGGGTTTTATTATAATCCTTAGGCTCAATATACATTGCCGCCAAAAGCAATAATGAACTTAGGTCATTTGTGTAACATACAAACTAGATATGTGCCAAAAACAGGTTGCGCGTCTTCCAGAGAATTTACAAAAATTCACTTCAATTCCATTAGTGGAACAGAATATACATTATGCCTAACTTGTTCATTTATTTTAAGCTGTAGGAAGAATAACATTTGAAGATACTTTACAGTCTTTAATATTTCAGTTATGGAAATATTCAACAGCCAGCACCTAGTAACACGACTGCAATATCCAAATATATAACGCAACTCTCATGGAAAAATGGCGTAAGAGAAGTTACGTCAAACACAATTATTGCTTCATCAGATACAGAAAAATATAACCCGCATCCACTCCAACCTCGCATAACTCTATCTACAATATTAGTCATAGAGTTACAAGAATTGGACAGGATGTGGGTGGGATGTGGGATATTCTTCTGTATCTAATGGAGTAACAAATGTTTTAGATGTAACTCCACTGAATAGTATATTATAGTGTGAATTAAGTTATAAGCTCATGGTAAGTCCACAGTCAATAACTACCTCTTAAGATACAGGATCCCTTAGTTTAGAAGGCAAGATAATCTTGTAATTGTATAATTTGGACTAGAAAAAATATTGTAACCAATTTATTAGTGATTTATAAATAAAATATTATTATTATTATTATTATTTATTAAAGTTGCAATATTGATATACTAATAATATTAATGACCTCAGTGGCCTAATGGTTTATATTGTGGGCACTGGATGTGGAAGTCACTGGTTCGATTCCCGGTAATAGCAATTAGGAAAATGAACTTTTCTAAATTGGTTCTGGTCTGGGTGTTCTGGGAAGTCCTCAGATTGAATTCAATTGCTCTGGAACTCATAGTACAAGAAATTGTGAGACCATGCAATTGATGTAATTGTCTAGCACATATACATATATGTATATTCTGGCACATACTTCGGATGTGACAATGGCACATCAATTGGTCCTGTCTATTACACAAAGACTTATTTACATTAGCTATATTGGTAGAATTATAGAAAAAAAAATTACGTACAACTTACACATAGCAGAGAAAGGACCATGGCGGTGCGGCCACCCATACTATGCCCGAGGACCGATACCTTCGTCAGCTCCAGTTTTTTCAATAGCTTCATAACATCATGAGCCATATGCACGTATGTATGCTGCGATGAATGTCGACTGTCACCATGGTTGCGGGCGTCCACACTAATGACCTTTCTGCCCGTAGTTCTATGTATCGCCTTGCTCATACTATTCCAATTATTCTTCGACCCTAACAACCCATGAAGAATAACTAAAGGCGGCCTTGAGCAATCTGTATCACCAGTACTCTCATAGGAGGCGTAGGCCAGGTCCACGGCATCGGCGTTTTCCGAAGTTGATGCGATATATCTATACAATATGCGGGGACAAACACGAAATGTTCTAAACACATTTGTGGAGCTTAGTTTGTTGAGTAACATTTTTGTTTTGATGATATAAATACAAAATTTTGAAGGTTATCTTTTTGACATAACATTGTGTGACAAGTCACTGCTGACAAGTGACAGTGACACTGACAAAGTGAGAAATGTAGTAAAATTGCGTCTAATTGGCTCTTAGAGGATGGAAAAAAAATATACTGTACAGTACTGCCAGATATTACATTGTAATTTTTCTTCAATACTTCATTTCGCGGGAAATCGTAATATACTTTTACGGTGGCCATTTTGAAACTCTACAGTGACAAAGAGGCATGGAACCTTAGAATAATAATTATTCTAAGCATGGAACGTAATTAAGTACGCGAAAGTAATATTTTAAGTATTTTTGAGTTGAGTTTTAAATTGACATAAGCTGACGGTTCAGCCGCAGCTTTAGCAGCAGTATAACTCCTTGTGAAAGAGTTTGCCCTGGGAAATACCGACGCCATATCTAATTCTGCCCCCAAGTAGTAGATCATTACTGCGTTCCGGCTATGAAAAGTAAGAGTACTAGTGAAATTACAGGCACATCGGACTTGTTAATTATATGTCACAGTGTGACGGCAATGCTCCTCAGATTTTTGTAATTGGGAATTCTGAGTGGCACTGAAATTGTTATTGGCAGGCGTGTCTCTTAACAGCACATATGGTGTGTGCTAGGAATGGGTAATATAGCTTGTTATGAATATCGTATCGAAAGTATATATCAATATTCGAAATCTGATTTCGAAACTATGGATACCGCCCGCGTGCGCGCTGCGTTGATACATTGCCGTTACTGATATTCGGAATCAGATTTCGAAACTATATATTATTCCATATAGTTTTACAAAAGAAATGCGGGCCAATGTTAGTATACAGTTTCGAAGACGCATAAAAAATGGTTTCCACTCAGTGAATATCTGATACGAAGCAATATCGGTACATAGTTTGGAAAATATATGATTTCGTGTTGGTGTCCACTCGGTAATCGCTCGGCTTGATTCGGCATCGCTATTGAATATCCGGAGCGATATCGATATAAGATACATGATATCGGATATTCGATATTGCCACAATATATAGTTTCAATAACTATATACGATTTGTAACGTCCATTCCTAGTCTGTGCTTAGCACCTAGCGCAGATTCGTTCCTCCAGTATTTAATATCATACATAACAGAAACACTAACATTTTCCGAATATAATTTATAAGCACCTTAAATTTAGGATCTATGTATGTTGTATTTAGGCAAATACCTAACTCAGTTTATAAACCTACTTTTCTTCTTGCTTAAAGTTCCAAGAATAGTTTATGTCCAGCAGCGGATTTTCACAGATGGTGCATCAGCAATTATACTTTTTCCTACATTTTACATGAAAATATATACAACATGGATTTGCCCAACTTTTTAATTAATTTTTAAATAAGAAAATAGTCAAATACATAATAGAATCTTCATAAACCACTATCCCATCACTTTTTTGATAAATTTTTCGACGACGCCTTGAAAAATTTGCGGATCTTCGGCGTGCACGTTGTGACCTGCATTTTCGACGATGATTAACTTTGCCGCCGGGAACATGGTGCGAATAGACTTCAAATCTGAGCTCCTAAAATATTTTTAATTAATGAAAAGCTCAGAACTAGTAACTAAATAGCGAATGTTAACACATTTCGAATTGCATTATGCATTATGCAATATGCATTTATGTTCTTTATTAACCGACTTTAAAAAAAGGAGGAGGTTCTCAATTCGACTACTTTTTTTGTAAGTTTGTTACGCGATAACTCCGCCATTTGTGAACCGATTTTGATGGTTCCTTTTTTGTTGGAAAGAGGGTACCTCAGAAGTTGTCCCATTTGAAGAAAAAATTCGACCTTTACGGGCTGACTTTTGAGGTCGCTTTTTTTCGTACTCTGTACTGAGGTTAGATTATTTTGATCAAATTTTTAACCATGAAGATAATTATTAATCGATCGATTAGCGCTTATAGCATGCACCACACTTCTATTCAACAACAGTTGCAGTACACTGACAGAATGAACAGGATCCGGAACTGCCTTACGTAGCGCGTGTATACTGTGTGTTCCCATGCAGGTCTTAGTAAGTACATAAATATTTTTTACTTTATACGAATACATAATACCTTATGTAACTAATTTACAAACAAGTTTGTAAAGCTTACGGAAGATAGTTTGATTTTTCTCCAGCAATAAACAGGGTGGGTCCTTCGTATTTCTTACTCTTCATTTCTTCCGGAAACGACGCTATATCGCTATGGTATTTCTTGAGCGTTTCAACATTGCACAACCAGCCGACAGATTGATCTTTCCGTTTTCCTACATTCATCAGAATGAATTGCATCGTAGGAATGTTAGCGCCTATGGAATCCAGTACTTTTGCTGCCTCTTTTTTAGCATTAGGAACAGTTTTGTCGGTGAAATTTACTTGACTCATTGCATTCAAGAGATTTGGGAAAAACTTGTTGTGTTTACCCGGTATTGAAATCGGAGAAATGTCGACTACTATCAAAGCTTTAACTAATTTAGGCTGGAAGAAACAATCAACAAAAATCAAAATAATTATAGTGTGGAAAAAAAAATGGAATATAGGACAAGGAACCAACTAAAAATAAAAAATATATAAACAAACTCTCTGTTTTATTGTAGTAATCAATAGGATCAATGATAAGGATGAAATCCCTCCCATAAACATTGGGTCTTACAATTAAAGACGTCCATTAAATCATACATAAGAACTCTCATTTTATTTTTAACAAATAAAAGACACGTAATTTTTTTAAGTTTCTTACGCTGAACTTTCTTATGGGCTTTGCAAAAAAAATTTTTACAAACAGACTTGTGACACTGTAGAAGAGTTAAGGGCTGAGGTACAAAACGTTATTACGAGCATTTATTATTGCACATGTTATTAGCAACATTTTCATCCTTATCATTGATCCTATCGATTAGTACAATAAAATAAGAGTGTTTATTTTTGCATTTTTAGCTGGTTCGATTCCAAGCTTATTATGTCTGTGAATGTAGTTATTCTTTCTTTATTATTACAATATCAAGTGACGGGACGAACAAGTCGTGTGCCTGATGGTAAGCTACACGCCTGTCCATAACAGTTGCAGTGCTACTCAGAGCTTTTAATCGCAAAGATCTGAGGGGCACTGCCACTGCGTCTGTCACACTGAGACGTAAGTTGACAAGTCCCATGTGCTTGTTATTTCACCTTTACCCTTACCCTTCAATGGAACGCAGTAATGCTAACATTACTGCTTAACGGCAGAAATAGGTAAAACTCTTTCACGAGGAGCTCTACTGCCACTAAAATCAAATCATTTAAGAAAAATAAAATAATATTTCCCTCATGTCTTATTGATTTTGTCCACCCTATATAGTATTATAACTGACATGATTTAAGATACCAGAAATAAAAGTATTTACCTCCATCAAAGCGAGCACCATGGCTGTCCTGCCACCCATGCTATGACCTAAAACCAAAGCTTCTTTTATTGATAATTTCGCCAATAGTTCACGTACGTCACTCGCTAAATCGTTATATGAGTGTGTGGATTCGTGAGGACTTTCTCCGTGGTTCCTTGCGTCAACCGCTATTACACTCATACTGGTACTATCATTGATTCTTTTTGACATGGACTCCCAATTCCTTTTCGAACCGAGAAACCCATGAAGTACTATAATAGGTGTCTGGTAAAAAGTTGTATCCCCATGAACTTTATACGCTAATGCTACAGATCGCACATTGTCATTAAAAACCTTCTTAATCCTTTTCCTTAACAAAGGGTGTACATATTTCGTCACGGTTGATAATGTAATCTCCATTCCATGTCGATGAATCGACATTTATCATATACTTGGAATTTATTAAGTAATTCTTAGAAAAATTTAAAAAATCTTCCAAATATAATAACTCTTCACTTCACTTTTTATTTTTATGGCTCCATCAATATGAGAACTGATGATTTTGCCAATGTCACAGTTGAAAGAAAAAAAAACGAAACAAAAAAAAAATTTTCGCTAAGCTCTAATAGGACATTAACCGGTTATGTAAGTGTTATTATGATGACTGATTGTCATTATAAGTGTCATTGGTCACTATTTCGTTCTTTTATTTTTTTCTCCATCCTCTAAGCTATTTCGCATCGTGTCACAAATATCAAGTAGGTTCATTTTTACAATTTGATCAACAACAAGAACTTATGGTATGACATCGGACTGAATTAATTTTTTTCCATAGTCTAAGCTTTTTTCCATCCTTTATGGGCGCATTTATTCGACATGAATTTCATCGCGGTCACGCCGCGCGGGTGCCGCGTGCATCTAACTGTGTCGCAGCAAAATACGCTCTATTTATGTAGCTTTTACGTTTTAACTTAAATGAGCGTACCGGGCGCGCGGACGAGTCTGGCTTGTCTTTGGTCTATACGGCGGCCGCGCGGCGACCGCGCTGTTGTATTATTCCGAGGAATTTAAATGTTGTTGCCTAGTAAATATAATTCAGATTCGCCATTAATGTACAGGGTCAAGAGCACATCAAGCTTGATGCTTAAGATTTAAATCCAACTGTATGCCGCTTACGATAAGAACGGTCCAAAGAGCAAAGTGTCAATTTTGACGTGCTCTTGACTGTACGTGAAAGCGTGGTAACTGGAAAACTTTCTCGTCGTGTAAATGGGCGCTAAGGAAATCACTGATTTAGACTGTCACGATTTTCACGCATTATTATTTGATTTTAAGCTCAACAAGTCTGCAATAGCCGAGTATTGGCTAAATCTGGACTAAATCATCGGATTGAGCTTCATAATCCTAAGATCCTTTATACAGAACGTTATTACTATAATATAATTGTATGGGCAGCAGTTGAAATTAAAAAATATCGTAATTTCAACAGTGAAAATGGTTTTAAGCTTTCATAGTTGTGGGATCCGGGCATCAGTAAATGTAAGCGGCATCAACTACTTCCGGCAAGTCGCCGGATATCGCGAGTGTTATGACAACTCTAGTGCACAAGTATTAGTAAAAAATGGCGGGCTTTTGAAGTTACAAGTACTGTTTTTAAAAAGATTAATTTTATGTTAAGTATTTATTATGAAGAAAATACGAAGAAAGAAATAGTGAATGAAAGGTGGAAAAGGAAGATGGAAAAAATAAAGGAACGATAGCCATAATTTCTTATACTATTTTTACAAGCCCAGTGACCAATTGTAGCCAAGGAAAAGAAATTTTAACACTTTTTTTTTCTTATTTCTCTTGGCTTTACGCGGTCAGCGTTTCAGCCACTTACAGACTAACTTGATTTTAAAACGGGAAGACTCATAATATCATAGAATGAAATTTGGAAACGGAATTTGGAAGTTGGAGAAAAAATGTACCAGGCGAGGAACTATGAAATGTAAATAAACAAATTGTAGAATAAATATTATATTACATAAAGAAGCTAAATTTACGTAACCGACAAAGTGTGTAGTCGGTGCATTCTGTTGTTGGTAGACTGTCAACGGTCACTCCATTTAATCTTTTACTAGGCAACAGTCAATGTCAGCACATCTATGAAATATTTTTTTCCACTTTCTAAGGAAATAGTAGACCTCTGTTTGGCACAAAAATGTTTGCAAATTGGGATGTTGTTACCGTGCTGACTAAATAACATGCTGCAGTCTTGCATTTCTTGGCATTTGATCCGGAAAAGTGTCGGATATCCCACAGTCAAAAGATTTCTAAATCTGTCTTACAAAGTTGTAAGTGAAAGTAGCTCGGAAAACCCAGATTTACCGCCAGTGTTGCTGTTGCATGGATTACTGGGACAAAAAAAGCTATGGGCCTGTTTGGGTCTGTATATTTTTAGCAATAGGTATATAAATGGTAAAAGACAATATGATGTTATTAGAAATCAGCATGTGCATCTTTCTTTACATTAAATATATTTCACATTACCTACTAATGCCAATGTTTACTTTACTTGCTGATTATTACAAATCCTCTTCATTTGGCGAGGCATAACCTACTGTAGATGATGTTACAAGTAGTATAAATACTATGGGAGTACCTAAGTGGTGCTGTGAACAGCCTTGAAATGATATTCTAGGGAAAACTATAGCAACAGTAATGAAACATTCAGTTTTGACTGTGGATCTTCGGAACCACGGCGTCAGTCCGCATCACCCCTCTCATAAATATGAGGACTTAGCAGAGGATGTCGTCATGTTGATGAATAAGTTGAAAATAAACAGGGCCGTTTTAATCGGTCATAACATGGGCGGCCGCACTAGCATGAGCATCTCGCTAATGGCGGTAAGGAAATTTAATAGATTTGTTGTCGTATATGTTTTCATTTTTTAAGTACCTTATCTACTGCCGCAGTCTCACTTTTGTGGACGATGGTGAAAACACTAAATAGCTGACCTAAGCACATACTATGATAAAGCTAAGATATTAATGATATATATCAATAGCATTCTAAACAGCGAAATATACTTAACATTGAAGACAATAATTCGATCGTTTTGTGGGATACATATAATTCTTTGTAATTTGCAGGCAGAGAGGATAGCAGGGCTTATAATTGTGGACATTTCTCCAGTGTCTAATTGCAAACAGCTCGCCGAGGATATGCTCATAATTTTGAAAACTATGAAAAGCATTCATTTTGATGGACTGAATACTCGTAAAAGGGCTAGAACAGCGGCCAGGATTAAGCTTCATACCCATATTTCTGATAGCATTACTCTAAATGCTGTTCTGAAGAATATAGACGTTAGGAAAAATGGAACTATAGGTTGGATCTGTAACCTCGATGCTTTGCTTAAAAATTTTAACCATATAGTTTCGTTCTTTCCTGCACATTTGCAAAACATACAATACAACGGACCTGTACTGTTCATAGGTGGGCAGCGCTCTGATTTTATACCGTAAGTCCCCGAATTTCTCTATACTATATTTGTGTAAATATTTTTTAAAAATCGAGTCTACAAAAGCCGTAATTATGTGACGTGTCAAAAACATCAACATTTTCCGACGACTTTTTAGTGACTTGATATCCCATTTTGTTGTCATAATATCAATTAATATTATTCAAGTTCAATTAAAAGTTTATTAGGAGTTATGGGGTTAAGAATTATCAATCACCAGATGTCAACAGAATTTATAGAGGCGAACCGATGTTTTATTTAGATATTTATTACATGACAGATTTTATTATTTAAACCTCATTTACACTGTTAATGAAATGTTGTAGACCGGACGATTTGCCGGATATTCGCTCCATATTCCCAAACGTGGTTGTCACATACATAACCGGTGCCGGGCACAATGTACATGCCCACGATCCCCGGGCATTTCTCGAACTCGTCATCCAATTCCTAAAGAAGAACAAGGAACTTTTTAAGTAAGAATTAGTGATAATGGTTTTAAGAAATGAAGCTTTTGTCACCCACCGTTTGATCCATTGTTCTAATGACCAATGATTACTATACACATAATAAATGCCGAATTTGCCTGAAATTAGAACTTCCTAAACTTAAAATTCGATACTGTCTACTCTTTTCGAACTTAATTTATACGAATGAACAGAATAATACGTAGTCGTCCTTATAAGTTGAACCAATCCCAGTTCAAATATTACATACATGGAATTTGATCAAAATCGCAATTACGATGCAATGTTACAAAATGATTTTATCTCGTGCGTTTCCATTATGTGTGTGGTTGTGTAATAGCCTGTCTTTTTGTCAGCTAATTTAAAGTGTTACCTACGGAAAACATGCTGGAAATTGCTATTTTTTGTATTGTTTTGTGTATTTTGTTAGTAATTAGGTATATCTAAAACATATAATATGCATTTTCATTGCGAATTGTATTTTTTACTTCTAATAAACCTTGTATTGGGAATTAAACAGTAATAGTTATTTGTTCAACAAGAGAGCAAAGTCGTTTTTTGGTGCGAGTGCTGTTTTTAAGTCCTGAGCAAGCGAAAGATTCTATAGTTGAATCACGAGCGTAGCGAGTGATTCAGAATTAGAATCTTGAGCGAAGCGAGGGACTCAAAAATACGAGCTGTAAAATAACTTTGCTCTCGCGTGATACATACAACTTTTCACCTCAGCAGCGAGAACATATATATATATACTAAAGGGACAAGTAATAAAAACACGTCATGAAAGCAAATGCATCATTGTATATTTACAAAAATACAGAATTTACAAAAAATTAAAAGTGGAACGTGAAGTTTGTACAATTCTGTAGATTAAAAGTTACTGTTTTATTTGGAACAGTAATCGTCGTAGTGTTTGCTACTTGAGTAGTGGTCGAGGTTTCATTATGAGTTGAGCTGGATTGTGACCCTTCCCGCACCGTAAAAGTTGGTGATTCTGGGCGGGTTTGGGTATGATTCGCATCACTGGAGGTGCTAGGTTGTGCCCAAGAATGCGAAGTCTGTTTTAGGTTTATCGAATCTATAATACGCTTACAGATTTTTGATTTATTTTCTATTGAATCTTCGATATATCCTTCAGCCACTGTATTTGATCTCCAACCGCCATGGCGCTTCAACGTTGTGAGGTCAGCTCCTCCATCTGCCAAAAGAGTGGCTGATGTTCGCCTGAAGCAGTGGCCAGTGTATAGCTGCGGCTCTTTCAAATCTAAAAATGTTGCGATTTCTCGTGCAGTCGCTCCTATTTTATTAATACCCATCGGTTGCCGCGTACATTTTCCATTACGATATTGTATGAAAAAGCGGTCTGTGATCGTATTGGGAGGGCGCAATGCTTTATATTTCTGGACAACGTGTGCGTATTCCTCACGGACGACGAACGACCTGTCTATATTTGTTTTCGTATTTGGCAGGTTAATCAAAAGAAGGTCGCTGGAATGTTGTTCAATGGCATTAGGAGTTAGATTCAATAACTCGTTGGAGCGGCATGCTCCGTTTATTCCAATGATAAGGATGACCTGAAACATAAATAAAACGTCAATAAGTATTGTGTCTTTTAGAGCAGTCTTAAACGTGGATTTCTCATAATATGTAGCGTTATTTTTAACCATAAAGTTCCAATACAAGTCGCCAAAACAACACATTTAAGTAGGTAAGTATAATTATGTTGATAGAAATTGATAACATAACTACCAAAGTCCAAATTGTGTTAACAATTAAAATATAACGCTACGACAACAGTAATAATATTCAATACTTACTTTTGCGGCTAGGAAAGTGCAATCTGGAGCTTCATTAAGAAATTTTTCAATATTAGCAGCCGTGAAAACTTTCGATTTTTTTTATTTGTGGCCGACGGCCGATCTTTTCAAAAACGCAATCAGCTTTGCGTAAGTGTTTATATGGACGTTATTTTTAGTTTGTAATGTAGCTTTCAACATCGAATATATACTCCACATCGTTGACGGCTGTTTTGTATGCGACATTTCAATGAAATAAGACAGAAGCACAGTTTCCGACATAGTGTTTCCTGCGCCCTTTTCGTGCCTCCATTTGTCAAAATGTTCGTAGACTTTCAGGTACTTTTCACGAGATTTACTAGGCAAGAAACTTAGTTCAGCATTTTTAACAGTTTCAACTAACTCTGGAGGAGTTAAAAAATTGTCGTCTTCACTGGAATCGCTCATATTTTCTATTTTATTACGTAGGTAGGTATCCAATTAACTATCAAAGAAGTACCTATCGCAAGCAAATAAGAAATTTTGAATTAAAAAAAAAAGAAAGCGCGCTTTTATTTATTGCGTTCCGGAACGTTCTCGCTTGTATTCATTGAAATCACACATTGTAAATATTGTTATCTTTAATTGACGTTATAAATTTAGCATATTTTTATTGCAACACTTGCTTTATTTTTAATGAAAATTGTAAAAACTAAATTATCATAGTATAAAATCGTATTTGTATTTCTCACATAATTTATCTTTTAGATGAATTGACGAGTTTCCGAACGTGCACTCGTTCAGCCATTTTGTGGGGGTCTACTATGTAACTTAAATATCGAAGTACGAATAAACCATAATTTTCTTTTTCCTTTTTCTTGTAATGAAGTGAAAGGGACGGAGCGACTGATTTTGAAATATGTCGAATTTGTATTAGACCCCTTCGCATTAAATGACAAGTCTCCACTTAAAAAGCAAAAAGCTACTTTTTCTCACGGAGTGAGCAAAATAAGATTTTGCTCACTGATTTCACACAGCAAAATAGCCTTGTTCGAGCTGCTGAGGTGAAAAATAATATGTAGAATTTTTTAATCCAATGCTAATTTTGCACGGAATTACCTCAAAGGGTGGAAAAAATAAAGGAAATTAGACATTGAAATTTCTATGCCCAAGAAAATTACGGCACTGTCCACGAAAATGGCGCAACAAATAAACTTTTTAAAATCCTGCGGCATAGGAAAGGAGTACGCATTTCAGTAGAGGCTTTTTTGGAATATTGTGAGTATTATAAACTACCAATACACCATAGCCCTGATAATAATAACAAGATAGTTAGTACAACCCTTAAAGGATGGAAAAAACTTTCCATAGTCTATGCTACAACCGTGTTTCATTTTTTTTTTTTTAATTAGGCACTGTCCTGGTAATGTGCATGAAAGCATGGTAAGTGGGCGGTCGCCGCGCGAAAACTTTCTCCTCGTGTAACTGGGCGCTTACCAAACCGGAATACAGTAGCTCACATCACTGCTTGGCGGCTGAAATAGGTAACGTGACAGTACTTTCCTGGACGAACTCCTTCACAAGGAGCTCTACTGCTACGAAGTATTAATGTGATAACACTACGCTGCGAAGCACGCGCCGACGACACGTGTAGACATTGATGCGACGGGCGATAGTCGAACTATTAGTCTTAATAAATATGTTTCAGTCTCGCTGTTTTTCCGCGTCTCAGGAAAAAATACCGAGACTCGGTGCAGTCTCGAAAATCCCGAGAATAACGGGACTTTTGAAGCCGTGGTAGTCTAATGGTTTAACCTACTGCCTCTCAAGCAGAGGGTCGTAGGTTCGAATCCGGTCTCGCACCTCTGAGTTTCTATATGAAATTTATCATGAGCTTTTCGGTGAAGGACAACATCGTGATGAAACGAGATTTGGTATGGGGGCGTGATTCGTGTCGCCTACAAACATCGCCACATTGACATGGCGATCGCTGTACATTACAAGATCTCTCGTAAAATGTGAAAATGCCAAGTTGTAGCGATACACCTAGTAAAAATTGGAGTGAAATCAAAAATTTTAAAACCAGAGAGATAACATTCCACCGGCTATTTGCATTTTTAGTTACTATTTCTATCATAATTCAATGTTTTCTTTTAGTCTCCATAGAAATTTCTAGACTCAAATACATATAGTGATGTCTATTTACGATGACTGATGTTTATCGACAATAAATTTTTACTGAAATGTTTGAATTTCTTACTATGATTTTTGTAATTAAAGTCCCTAAAATATCTAAGCGAAAAGCATTCACGTTAAATTCATTTCTTTTATTTTATTATTATTACTAAACCTTTTATTTCGAGAAGAACAACTTATATTTCGGACAACCGTTTCAATTTCATGTCAATTTGTATGTTGCTGTTGCTTGAAGAAAATTGTATGTGTATTACTGTTTTATATAATTTAGATATTTAAATTCCATTATACTAGTAGATCAAACGTAGAGTATTTTTAATTTTTAAGTTTTTGCAATGAGTTCAAAATAAAAGAAGGTTGGATTGAAGCGGCAGGACAATTTAAAGATCCATATCAAATGCATTTAAAAAATAAATAAAATAAAATCGGCTTTATTTTACATGTGCATGCAAAATAAATTAGAAACAATTATAGAAAATTACATAAATCCTTCATAAAAAACAACACAATTTAATTTATTAAATTCGTTGATGGTTCGAGTCATGGACGTATTATAGTTCGAGTTTACTCTTGACAGTGACAGTTTCACCAACCCGTGGTAACGTATAATGGAAAACTGATACTGGCCCAAGCCTTAGTGGCTGTCATTAGGAAAATAATAATAATTTATATTAATATATTCATTTAATAATACATCCCCAGTACCAGTGTAGGTATAGCACGAAAAGCGTCAGTTTAAGGTTAACAATTCACGGAGCGGTTTCCATCCGCGCCCGCTAGTGCTGCTAGATAGCGGTTTTATTTCAATACTCACGACCCTGCAAGTTTGTGCGGGCACGTAGCTGCCGCGGTTGCGGGCACAAACCGTTGCGATTGCGGAACGGACCGCGAAGTTAGTGGGAGTTAATCGCAAATCGCGCGGTTAATAGAGATGAGCGCAATGTGCCTGCACCACATTGCGCCTGAACCGACCGCCAAAGTGCGCGGGCGACGACGGCCGCCAAGAGCGCAAGTGATAGCGTCCTGCGCGATTCTACTAGCACCCCGCCGCGGCAACTGCGAGCAACCGTCACCACTACAGGCGTAGAACGCGCCGTGAAACGTGCTACTAATTTTACATACTTAACTATTATATTCTACAGATGCCGCGATCCTGCGGCAGACGCCGGTGAAAACCGCTCCGTGAGTTGTTAGTGTAACGAAAAATGAGTTTCAGCGCCATCTAACGTGTAATAATTAGCTCTTATATACATAGCATTTTTACTAAAACGCCACCTGATGGTGAATGGCTGAACCAGGATGAAAAAATACTGAAATATTGTAATATAACTCTTACTCAAGGGACTGTAAGTTTAATTTTGTTAAATTTTAAAATTGTGTTACGTTGTCTTCACGTTTTAAGCCCT